TTTAGGCTCAATAAAAAGGACACTAATTGGGGCTGCACGCATCACAATGTTAAAGAGAGGACCAACTTTAATATTAAAAATTAGGTTCTGTCATTTTGAATTAAATAAGTTGTACTACACGGTCCTGCAATGTCACTTCAGTATCCTTATAGTTAAAGTAAAAGTAATGTGTAATCATAGCTCACAAAAGAGTTCAATGCATCGGCCGATTGGCTGCTTTAATATTTAACATTTGTACAACAGAATCTTTAGTAAAGATTTTTGTTCAATGGACAATAAGAAAAAAATTAGCGAAGACTCCATTCCATTCCTATAAATACCCTCACAATGGGTTGCAAACCACACCACCAACAAGCATTTCACAAGCAATTACTACTACTTCATTATCAATGGCAAATTCCTCTATACAACTAGGGATGTGGTCTTTATTCAAAGACATTGATCACACAAAGTCCACTTAGGCATTGAGAGTAAGGGTTGGGCCGGTATACAAGGTGCCACCCCATTCCAGGGTACAGAGACGGTAGAGATGAGATTGCATGATGCTGAGGTAAAGATTGAAATATATTTGTGGAACACATGCATAAATTTGTTTAAAGATTTTAAGCCTTGGTATCAAATTTTATTTGACAGGGGGATCGTATTCACACAACCATCAAGAGGCCTCAGCTGGCTATGTACATGTCAATGATTAAAGAACATCAAGCGTATGCACTTGGGAACTTCTACTAGATAACTACCAGACTCTGAAAACCACCCATCACTCCTATGTTTCAAAGAAAATTAATTCATAGGTTATCATTAAAATATTCAAATTTTCGTTTACAAGTATTCAAGTCTTCCAGGTGTTGAAGTTAACAAAATTTCATTTTGATTTTAATAACAGCTCTTTAATGAAGAGGTTAACCAAAAGCACAACAAACGACCGTAAAAGAAGTCTTATAGACTTGATCAACAAAGGTAGTTTTATATTCATAAATGTTATTTATTTCTATTGCAAAATAGATAACCATGTAGTCATGATTTGATTAATAATTTTTAAGCCACTACAGCCTCATAAAAAAGAGGATTTCAAACACTATTTTCAATCTAAACACATTTTATATTTCAGATGTTTGGATATTACTCAGCCTTAATAGATCTAATTGTCCGAATGTTTACATAGAGTCCAAATAGATCTTTTTTTAGCAAAAAATCAGAATTTGTTAAGCCAACTCACATACAGTACAAGTGAAAAACAGTAAACACTAATGAGGTCTGAGATCATTTAGTGTCACTAAACCTTTGTGTAAAACACATGCAAAAAAGTGTAATTACACAGATGAAAACGAGATCATTACAACTGCAAAACGTAGTTCGTTGAATCGGTGAACACAAGTCCAAGGCAACAAACATAATATCTGAGATCCTTGAATATTACTCAGTCCTCGGAGATCAAAATCCAAAAAAAAACTACATGTAATATAAGAATGAACAAATAAAACGACCAATCTGAGATCCTTTCGTGATGATCACTCAGATTTTATGAAAAAAGGATTTTCAAAGGGCATCATCACATAATAGATTACATGCAGGCCAAATTTATAAAAAAAGATTCAAAAATACACAACAATCTATCAAAATCAGAACATTTTCTTTTCAAATCGTATAGATCTATTTGTCAAAATTGGAATCTGTGAACCGAAGTTGGATACAAGCGAATAAACATAAACAATAACGATGCGCTGAGATCATTAAGTATCACTCAGTATTCGTTAGAAATTAAATAACAAAATAACATAATGAGAAAGGACTACCGATACGTCGAAGCAGGCCCTGAGATGCTGAGATCGCAGCTCAATCAAACAAGGCAGCATCGGCCAAAGATAAGAATGACTTGGGTCTGTGAAATCTTTGCTGAGCCTCATTTATTCTCATGTAAGGATGGAAGAAGAAGAAACGAAAGGGCGGTGAGAAACGTATGTAATACGCAAGTTGAGAGAGAGAGAGGCTGACCGATGGTCTGTGAATGGAGACGCTGGGTAAATGTTCTACACAAGGGGTAATGGGAGTTTATATCGGTGGGGTTAGGTTTGGTGGTTGGGTTGAGTTTGATTTTTAATGGGCCGAAATTTGGGCAGAATTTGTTTTTTTAAAATCAAATTTGGATAGATTATGAATTGTTATTTTATTAAGTGTCATTTTATCATATTAATTATATACTTATAAATTATATAATGTATGCAAAATAAATATTATTATTTATCTAAATAAAATCTATGGATTTTATTATTGTTATTATAATTATAATTATATAATTATATAAATACATTTTCATTTAAATTATTATGACTATTTAGGGTGGTTATTAGCATAAAAACATTGCAACATTATCTTTAAAATATTGGTCAAATACTATTTATGAATAAAAAAGCAAGTTAGGTTACAACGAGGTAACATACAAGTATAAGTGAAATCTACTAAAAACGTGAAATTCGAATTTCATAGGAGGTCACATTTTTTGTGAATCATATTTATCTTATTGATAATTATGTAATCGAGGAAAAATTTAATATGACCTAATGAAAATATATTTATTTTATTCAGATATTGATTAATGCATCATGAATATGTTGTGTATGTGGTTTATCTTGAATTGAAAATTGTGATCCAAATCACATGAAATCACATGAAACACACACTGCAGCGTGATATTAATCAAATGGGTTGTTCTGACATCACAACATCGAATGAAGACACAAGTCGATGTAACGCTTTACTTGAAAAAACGAGCGGTGGCTATTTTGTTCAATGGTATAATATTGTTTTATTGTCACATGTTTTATGAAGATGTTCTTATTTTAGGTAATTATTATTATTATTACTAGATTACTAGATTATCAGCTGACCATACCACCAATGTAGTTTATAAGGAAGTTTTTCGCAATGTGCAGATTGTGAAACCCTATATAACATATACTTTATCTATTTATTCCAAAACATACTTATTACCTATCTTTGAGTTTTCACTATCCGATCTTTAATTATAATTTATTGTGCATGTCACGTCTCTAAAAATTTCCATACATTTAACACGACCAAATAATATTTACGAATAATGTCGCATCCCTATTACATTTTAATATCCCGCGCATCGCGCGGGTGAGAATCTAGTTTCAAGTAAACAAACAATCCTCAACATTCTTGATTACTAACAATTTTAATTTTTAAAATAATCCCTCAACTAAAAAGCATGTGCCGTCAATGCATAATAAATTGAAAACAAACTTACAAATCAAGGAAATATGGGAGGATTGAGCGGTGCAGGCGTGCGGCGGTGCAACGTCAATTCAGCAAGAGAGTGAAATCCCCGGAGGCCAGAGCCAAGGCGGCGACATCCCCTAAAATCGTAATTCGTAAACTGTCCGCGTGAGGTTTTGTTTTTGGAGAACTTCGGCTTTTATCATTCTAGTCTTCCAAATATTAGTGGGTTTTTAGACTTTTAATACTCCGTTGTTTTAGTTGCCTGCATAGTGTCTACTTTTTTGGAATTTTAACTTTTTTTTTGTAACTTTTTGTTTTCAATTCTTAATTATTATTTTTTTGTTTTTTTGATAATTCTATATCTTTTATTTTAATTCACCTAAAATTTAAATATTTTGTATTAATTTTTTATTTATATAACCGTAACATTTTAGTATCTTAATTATCAAATACTGATATAAAGCCGGGGCACTCATTTTTATCCTAAGTACTACTAGTGAAATTCCGGGCTCGAAGCGGGGGCACGTGCCCCACCTAGCCCCCCTTAGGTCCTCCACTGCTTACATTGGTTTCCCGCATTAAGGGTACTGAGAGCAAGTTGGTACTGAAAACTCTGGTGATGCATCAAAGCATTGTCTCCACCTCTGAAAATGGTGGTGATGATAAGAATGACGACAACGATGGTGATGATGTCCCACTGATCAGAAGAACTACACGAAGAGGGTACGAAGAGGCATCTCACTCCATAAGTAACACTGATGGTATCATTATCAGTGTGACACGCTCCAAACACCAACATGACGTTTGTGCCACATCATCTGAGTCCACAACAAGAGCTCAATTAACTGGCAGTCGTGGAAAAGAAATGGCTTTGTTCAATTAAATAATCCAGTCAGATACATCCAAGACTAACCTCATAGGAGCAAGAGCTGCGGGGGGCGGGCTGCGGGGACCCGGTCCCGAACGGGTACTATACATCCAAGACTAACCTCACAGGAGCAAGAGCTGGGTAGTATATCGCATATATTAATACATGGTTCAATTCAAACTTTATCACATGATTGCTCAATTGGTTTCTACTATACCAAAATTGGTTGTATCGGATGAGGTTACTGTTAGAAGACTATTTTAGTTATTTTTACGTATAATTTTTTCTTTATTTTATTAATAAAATATATTTAAATACAATTTTTCATAAATCAATAGAATTGAATCAGACAAATTCAGTCACTCCAGCCAGAATTTTCGTAAATTTGAGGAGGTGATATCAAATATTCAAATAAAAATGAAATCTTGAAGTACGATTTTTTATTATTATCAAAAGTTAGCTAGCTGCGAGAATCTGTTCTCATCGCCCATATAGCTAGCGAATCTATTTCTACGTACATTTTACAGATTGTGCTCTATCAAAGTCAAGCTTTAGTTTATACTCCCTCCGTCCCAGAAAATTCTTCCAACTTTCCTTTTTGGGACGTCCCAGAAAATTCTTCCAACTTCACCTTTTTGATTATTTGTGTGGCTCACATTCATTTCACCTTTTTCTTATACAACTACAACCACACATTTCCACTTTATTCCCACTTTCTTAAACTCCGATCCAAGTCAAACTAGGAAGAATTTTCTGGGACGGAGGGAGTAATTATTAAACACAAAGTTAATTAATCAAACTATCGTAGATCATAAGCTAACTACTGTCTACGTACATTAGTTTATATATATGAATCATAAGCTGATCCATCCTGAATAATTGATAGTAGTGATGAAGAAAACGAGCTGTTACTCTACTTTCCACCAGGTGCTACTAATTCTCGTCTCTAATCTTCTACCCTGTTTGGTTTCGTCCCTAACATGCCAGAGAACCTGCGGGAGCCAAGTAATCAGATACCCGTTCGGGACCGGGCCGGGCTGCGGGGACCCCCGGTTCGAGCCTTACGTGACCTGCAACAGCCAGCAGCAGGTCCTGAGGTTGGGAACCCGCAGCGGGTGTTACCCGGTCACGGCCATCGACTACGAGAGAGAGGTAATTTACATCTTTGACCCTTCCATGTCCACCTGCTCTTGCACCCCGCCAAGCAGAGGGTTCAGCCTCGACGGGAATGCTCCTTTCTCCTTCTATGACTCCACCGTTTTCGCCCTTCTAGGTTAGTTCGTACCTACTACTGTCTCTGTTTCAATTTGTTTGACACAGTTTCCTTTTTTGGATGTTTCAAAATGAATGTCACACTTTTTTTTTCCTTATTTGGTGAACATATCTATACCAAAACACCGCATAACAGTGTCAAAAACTTTGTTCTATAGTAAAATTTGCTTCTTAATCCTGGACAAGTCAAAATGTGTCAAACAAATGGAAAAGGAGGGAGTATCTCTCAATTCACCTCATTACACGATACCACTAGCTAACTCACCTTGTTTAACGCTTTTGCACTTTATCCGTCTAAGACAGGACATACTTGAGGTTACTTTAATTTTGACTTATTTTGCATAGATAATTTGTTCAAAGTTTGGATGACATGGACCATTTTCTTTTACTAAATTCTACTTCCCATAAAATTCATTCCCATTTGATTTCGATTGGAATTTAAAAGAATGAAATGAAGTGAAAATGTGTAGCATGTTTTAGTAAGAAAAATGTAAATGAATATTGTCACACAAAAATTTTCGGAGCATCCACAAAAGTAAGTGGGAGATGAGAATAATTTTGCAAAACAACCCCAATATATGTTGTACACAGTACGCAAATGAGATAAAATATTCGGAGTACTATCGTGAGAAACATGTGCAAAGAGAACTTTCCAATAGTCTAATACGAATTCTTTAAACTGTTTTCTACTTGTCTCAATTTTTTCTTATTTTACACAGAAGTCAAATCTTGAAATGTCCGAAGGAACGGAATGACTAAATATACTTATATTGATTAAGCTTCAAGACCGTTAAGACTTGGAATTCCATCCACGTCAATCTAATATGAGAAGTAAACTAAGATCTATTAATTGTTTTAGAGATAATCATTGTGTGACAACAACACCACTCTTCACGACTAGTCACTTCGTCTGGATTATGCTGACAATTACTCATTTTTTATTCATTCATACTACCTCCGTCCCATTTATATTGTTCCGGAAGAAGGTGACACAGTTATTAAGAAAAGTGAGTTTGTGTGGTTGATTTTAATTGATAAAGTAAGAATAAAGTAAGAATGATTTAGAGTCACACAAACTTTGCCAAATATGGTATGAGACAATTTAAGTGGACTTCCCGAAAAAGTAAAACGGGACAAAATAAATGGGACGGAGGGAGTAATTGTTTTAGGGATAACCAATTATTAGACCAGACCATATCATACTTAAGGAGACCATATGAAATTAGACTAGATCAAACCAAATCATCAAATTTAAGTTCAAAATAAAAACATTCTTACTCTCCTCTTACTCTCGTTTAACGATGAGAGAATTCCCTAAATAGGAGTAAAAATGTTTTAAAATTCCAAAATAGGAGTATCATGTTTTTTATTCCTAGAATAGGAGTAAATTTCTGCCAAGTTTGGCATTACAAGGCTTTAAACATGGCATTTTTTTCCAAACTTGACAGATTACTCCTATTTAGGGAATAAAAACATGATACTCTTATTTTGGAATTTCAAAACGTTTTACTCCTATTTAGGGCAATTTCTGTTTAACGATTAGTCACTCTAAAACAGTTATTCTCAAGCAATTTACATTTTACAGTTTTGTACATTTAATCCCAGGCTGCTCGGGAGGGGTAAATTCGTCTTCTCCGGTGTGCGATTCCCAGGCGGCCCCAATCTGCGACCTCCTATACTCATGCCAGCCAATCACCAGCAGGGTGAACAACATCCAGGTCTCCGGCGGTTGCTGCGTCTACGCGCCGGTGGATCTCGGGCCGGCGTTTCAGATGGACTTGGAGAAACTCCAGTGCGCCGGCTACTCCGCCATGTACAGCGGCGGAGACGGGAACCCGCTGGCGTGGAAATACGGGATTGCCCTGAAATATAAGTTTAACTACAATAACGATTACCCGGATCTGTGCGAAAGCTGCGAGAAGAGCAATGGGGTTTGTGGGTACTCTGTACAGTATAGAACTTTTCTGTGTAACTGTCCTGGCGGGTTCAATTCTAGCTCGACTTGTTTCATCCCTGCTTTGAGTGATAGCAGCAATCGTCTCAGGGGTCTCTCTTGGAAAGCAGGAGGTACTCCACTCCTCATTCTTGTTGTTTTTCTACTTCAGGCTCTTCAGCAATATCTCATTGTACCGTAAAATAAGATTAGTGAATTTGATTTTTCTTGGTTAATGACATGAAAGTTTAGATAATGATTTTTGGTTTTAAATTTGTGTGAAGTTTATAAATGTTTCTCCCTATTTTTTTACAAAATGTTTTTTAATAAAGAATATGATCATACTCCGTATAATATTTATATTTTAAATAATTTTGTATTAAAAACTATGATTAATCAAACTCAACCAACATTGACAAAGAAAAGTCAATTTGGCCATATAATTTGGGACGAAGGGAGTATATGGTAAGCATGTTTTAAATTGGATTATAATTTTATCAAAATGTTGTTAGTACACACTTTTTGTACACATATGATGTGTTGTGCACCCCTTCTAGTTGTCTGTCTATATATGCAATTTGAAATTGTCTTTTAGACAAACAACTAGTAGGGGTGTGCACCGTATGTGTACAAAATGTGTGTACATCAAACATTGTTCATAATTTTATGGTCCAGTCTAGCTTGGTTGATCTGATTTAATTTGATTTGTAGGTGTCTCTTTTACTTTACATTAATTTGACAATTATTGAATTATAGTCTCGTTTGATCTGGTCTATTACGAACTAATATAATTTATTTTAATTTGGTTGATCGCATTTGATCTGATTATGTAAATGTCTATAATATAGTACTCCGTATGTATCTACTCCCTATTTTACAATTGTCAAAGTCACTCAATTTATGAAGTTGTTTGTGTCTTGCATTGTTTAATTTGCAGGAATTTTGGTGGGTGTGATCTTGGGATTGTTGAAGTGGACGTGATAATCAACCATAAAATTCAACTTCCATGAATTATTATTTGATCAGCATGGTTATTGGTTGGCCACTTTAATTTGTTCTTGCATCTTACGTACATTTTTTTTAAATGTAAAGGGCATATAAAATCATGAAAATGTAAAAATGCAAATTGTTGCTTGCTTAGCATGTTGTTTGTTTGTTTGTTTTGATTTGGGAAAATTTGTCAATTAGTTGCCTCCTATATCGACATCTGTCTATCTTATTTTAAATACAATTCCATCTTGGCTATTAACCGTAGATCAAATCTGGCTTGATAGTTGTTACTCTTAAGTCGTAACATAGCAAAAATGCACTTACACTATAAATTAAATATACTCCGTAGTGTACAAATCTGTGTCATCAGAAGGGTAAATAAAGGGTCGCATCTCAAATATTAAAAATGTTAATGCGTATTTATTTATATGTAAAAGTTTAGATATAAAGATTATTTATACGAGTTAACCAAAATTATGATCATGCCTATACATGCATATATATCCGGGCAATCGCGCGCAATTATAATGCCTACGTCAATTCAGACGATTTTTCCCAAAATAAAAGTAAAACAGGTGGTTTCAGGCACTACTTACTCGATCCTACTTTGGAGAAAACTAAGTACACCTAGCTAATTAAAAAATCAAAAATCATCGAACATATAGTCATATACTCGTATTTAAAACAATGCCCGAAATCATTTATACCCCAAAGTGTCCAAATTCCAAAACATCTTGAATATGTTATTTTGGTTGTAGAGTACATTTTTTCATTCATCGTGTCGAATCAAATTCGATATGCTTTTGTCCCTTTAAATTTTATGAACTTTCCTTTTTTTAGATTAAAAAACTTTACTATTTTTCTTTCAAATAATTAATTTGTAATTTTAATTATTCTCTATCATCTATACAAACAATAACCATAGTTATATTTAATTATTTGAGGTATTTACCTAAATAGGACTAAACCAATCTTTAATTGCTAAAATAGGACTAAAGTATAAAATTCTCCTAAATAGGAGTTATAATCTATAATTGGACAAAAGCGCCCTTGATGCTTGGAAGTCAACCCGCCGCCGACCAGAACACTGGACCACCGCCGTTTCGCGGTCTGCCGCCGCCGGTCGCCGGAGATCGCCGTCGCCTAAAAAAGTGACCTCTGTTGCAGATCTGATGTAACACCGCCCCCAAGTAATTGTACTTTATCAAATTATGTATTGAACCCTGAGAAATGAATAAACACATCTTTACGCGATTGTAAAATTTTCATCATTTCTTCTACGTGAGTATTAGAATTCACGTGGAGCCCACACCGGGAGTGGGGGGCCACCCGATATTGTCGGGACCGCATATTATATTCATTTGGGTCAAGATAATATGTGTGTAATGGTTGATATCCTTGTTGGGCTATAGAAACTATATGAGTAACCATTTGGACATATAAAGCCCATTTATCAGTACCAAAGTAATATCGGATAAAAAGCCATAATAAATTATGGAGACCACCAAATTAAAAGTTGGGGAATTTAAATTCATTCTTATAGCCAATAATAATTGGAAGAATGATAGATATTTCATTTTACCCGATAAAATGAAATATAGTTAAAACAGTCCAGAAAATACAACTTTCGGGACCAAGTGTACACTTGGGGACACAAAGGGATGACCACCCATTTAAGTGGGGGCCACCCCACGACTTTGTCTTGCAAATAGCAAGGGGAGCCGCACCCTTGGACTGCTGAGGGGTGTTGAGAGGACTTGGAGACAAAGAGTGAAAGGCAAGGGGACCCTCACCCATGTTAATTGATGAATAAGCCAAAGTGACTATCTCCATCATACCTACACCCATATGCTCGACCCATCCTCCATCTAAAGAGTAGGAATCTCTGCAAAAAACTCCATTTTCATCCACCATTCACGCACCAAGCAAGGGGAGGAAGAAAGGAGGAAAGAGGAGAAGAGAAAAGAGGAGTTAAGGTGGGAAACTTGTGATTTACAAGGTAATGGCTTCATTAATCCCATTTCTTGTCCTTAATCATATTTCATACTCCTAGGATATTTCTACACATGTAAAAGTGTAGAATGGGGGTTGGAAGGTTGGTTCATGTCCAAAACGGATTTAGAGAACAAAGTTGACCGATTCGTCGAAAAATAACCTTTTAGAGGTCATTTGTGTTGATATGGGTTTTATGATGATAAAACCTTGTTGTTAACTTGTATAAGGTACTTCAAGAACTTTCACGGAGTTGAAAGGGTCGCCGGAGTTGTCGCCGGAGTTGTTGAAGTTCGCCGGAGTTTCACCGGGGCCAAATCGGAGAGGCTAGAACTTCATAAGCTTCATTAAGGTGAGAAGACGGCTATATGCTTTATAACTTTTGAGTGAGGCATGAGATTACCTAAAGTAATCAAGTATATGTTTTACGGAATGATTAAAGTTAATCAAGTATTGGCTTATGCCATGATTATATATAAAACAAAGTTGAAAAGCATGTTTTGTATGTTTGGTGATTAAAAATGTGATAACTTATTATGTACAATGATCCAGGGGTCAAAAAAGGTATTTTTGGATCAAGGACTTCAAGTAGATTATGCATGTAAAATTTCACGTTAATCGGACTCCGTTTGGGCGGTCAAACGGGCGTTGACCGCCAAGTCAACTACAATACCCGACCGGGTGTCTGCTGAAAAATTGGCCCCAAGGGCCGCTGTCTCCTATACCCGATCGAGTATGGATAGATACTCGATCGAGTATGCCTTGAAAATTAGCCTTATGGGCTCCTGTCTCCTGTACTCGACCGAGTATTGATGGGTACTCGATCGAGTATTGGGTTATACTCAAAACGGGTAGTTTTTGAGTGGGTTAGCGTGGATCGATCAGGTGGGACCCGTCCACGTTGGTTACTAAGGATTATTATATGACTATAGGACTAGGTATTGTCCATAGTTAAGTGAATGCAAGGTTAGCCATATCCAGGTTAGGGTTTGGTTAGAAATAAGGTTGAGGTTGAGTATCCTCGGGACGGTAAATGATCCTAAAACTCGGTGAGGTTGAGTATCCTCAGGACGGTAAACAATCCTAAAACTCGGTTGAGGTTGAGCATCCTCGGGACGGTAAATGATCCTAAAACTCGGTTGAGGTTGAGCATCCTCGGGACGGTAAATGATCCTAAAACTCGGTTGAGGTTGAGCATCCTCGGGACAGTAAATGATCCCAAAACTCGGATGGGGTTGAGTATCCCCGGGAGGGTTAACACTCCTGAAACTCGGTAGGATATTATGAAGGTAGAATGTAGCTCTTAAGCTAGGCATTCAGGAATGAAAGGGGAAAGGTTGGGTAAGTACCTTGTCTCTAAAAGACGCTTTTGTGAGAAAACGACCTACGGGTCAAGTATTTTACAAGTATATACAGTATGTACTATCTTGGGAATGGGGTGACAATGGTTACACCTAAAAATATATGTATCATCCTATTTTTGGGTCTCGTGTCTGAGACATTAGTTATTCCTCATATAGCCTGCTTGTCACTAGTACTTCTATGGAGTATTGACCCCTTCGGGGGCCCTCACATTTTTTCAGGTTAAGGCTAGAGTCCTGCTACCTGCACCTTTGCCTAGGGTGAACTCAAATAAGGAAGACGTGGTTCGTGCTTCCATTCTTATTTGAAATTATGAAATTGCTCATGGATATTTGAACGATGTTTTCTATTAAACTATTGAAGGGCCTGCGTGCTCATGGTTGCCACGTGTGGCTAAATGTCAAACATACTTTATTTCCGCATGTGTTTGATTTATATATTGATGTTGATTGTATGGGTTTACTAATCGGTTTGGCAATAGAATCTTTCGGACGCCTTGTATGATTTGATAAGAATGAACTACGTTGTTCTTATTGGGTTGTACGGCGGTTGTCTACGTGGCACGGATGCGGTCCGGGGCGTGACAATTAAGTGGTATCAGAGCCATCGATTTCTAAACTATATAATTAACCTCTCAATATAGTATCATCAAAAATGTTTTGAGCAAAACCATGAGCAAAAGTTTTTGTACTTAAGGAACCGTTGGAAACCAAGTTATTGACCTCTTATTGTTAAGCCGGTACCCTTAACAGTTTGTTGGCCATAATGTTGGACCAAGTGGTGTCTTTTGTACTATTCCGTCAATTGACATTGATACGAGTCTAACGGCTCATTCCGAATTTCTTTCAGAAATGGAGGGTAGAGGCATGGCTACGAGGAACAACCCGAGAGGGCAAACTCCGGTGACGTCCGAAGGGGCTAGCCAGGTTGCATCTCGGGGCGCAAGAGGCGGTAGGAGAGGCCGTGGAGGCCGTGGAGGCCGGGGAGGCCGTCGGGCTCAAACCGTGAGCGATGGCCATGTTAGCTCGGTGCATGGAACTCACACCGAGGATTATGACTCTACCTATGTTCCCGAGACGGAACATGAGGAGACCCCATATGATGGGGGTGATACGTATACTGATGATGACAACGATGAGAGTGATGCCAAATTCGCCCAGATGGGTGAACTGTTCGAGTGGTATCAAAAGGAGAAGTTGAGGAGAGATCTTAGGCGCCAAGCTAGGCGTGCCTCTCAGGGGGCTTCAGGTCACGGAAGCCGGGGAGCATCAGTGGCTACACCTGTGGCGTCACAGGAAATGCATGGAGGAGGTTTTTGTGTAAGAATCTCCAAATACCTCAAGGAGGCTAGGGCCTTGGGGTGCAAGTCATTTGACGGCAAGGGTGATATATCGGTGGCTGCCGATTGGATAAAGAAGCTAAATGAGGCTGCTAGGGATATGCAGATCGGGCTTGATATAAAGCTGACAGTTGCTACCAGGTTACTGGAGGGAGTAGCCGCGGTATGGTGGGAAGGCGTGGAAGGAAAGTTCCACGGTGAGACCACCTGGGAGAAATTTGAAGTAGAATTCTATAATCAGTACTACTCAGAGTTCGAAAAGAACCAGAAGAGGAAGGAGTACATGACCCTGGTACAGGAGGAGGATTGCTCGGTGAGGCAACTGGAACAAAGGTTCCGGGACTTGGCACGATACATACCTGAGTACGCCATGGATGAGAACCGCATGGCTAATCACTTCTGGGATACCCTACAGTTGGATATCCGTGATAGGGCCACCTACAATCATCACATGACTTTTAGTGAGATTGTGGATCAAGGGCTACTTGGGGAAGCCAAGTGGAATGAAAGGAAGAAGAGAGACGCCGAAGAGGCGAAGAAAAGAAGATGGGGAAATTCTGGACCCCAAGACCATTCTCGGAAACATCACGCCGGGAATGGAAGATCATTCAGGGCGCCGGAACCACCGGCAAAGAAGAGTAAGGGCCCAGGAGGGCAAGGGCATAGCTCGGGGAGCGTGAGGCCACCAAGGTGTCCAAACTGTAACAGGAATCACTCCGGGAAGTGCAATGAACCACCCCGGTGCTACAAGTGTGGTAGCACAAGCCACCTCAAACTCTCTTGCCCAATGTTGAGTGGAGGTGGGCCATCGGGAGCTGTTGAGGCACCTACGTCTGGTAGGGGTCGTGCGGGACCATCTCAAGGCGGCACGGGAAGGGGCGGACCCACGGCCAGTAACGCCGCGTCCGTTAACCAAGGGAGGACCCAAGCACGGGTGTATGCAATGACCGAGGCCGATGCTCGGGCTAACCCGGACTCTATTGCAGGTAACCCCTTGATTCCACATGCAGTTTTTCATCTGTTTTAAAGTTAAAATCTGCAGGAAACATGTGATACCCGATCGGGTATCCATATATACCCGACCGGGTATGAGCAAATTGCTCGGTTTTGAGGTGGGTACTCGTTCGAGCAAGTTTAGCAGAACCCTCCGATTTTGGCAAATCCAGCCATACTCGACCGGGTATGGTTATATACTCGATCGAGTATTAGTAAATTTTTGTTTTTGAGGCGTGTACTCGATCGAACGGCGTATGCAGAAAGTTTTTATTTAACACTTTGAGTGATACCTGACCGGGTATGGGCATATACCCGACCGGGTATAGATAGTTTGTTCGGGTTCAGGGTGTGTACTCGACCGGGCAAGGATAACAGGGAGTTTTTCCTTAAGGACTCGAGCTATACCCGACCGGGTATAGGGTCCTACCCGACCGAGTATAGTATAGTCCTAAGCCGGGAATTGTTTCGCTAAGTCCTTTTCAGTCGGGACGTTATGCCGAGTGTCTTACATGGCTTGTATATGTAGGGACACTAAAGATCAATGGTAAACACGCGAGAATTCTCATCGACACCGGGGCGCAACGTTCATTTATGAGCGAAGCGTTTGCCAAGGGATTGGGCATGCCGTTAGTAGCAATGGCGCAACCTTTGTGGGTCTCTACACCGTTGGGAGATGATGTAGAGAGGAAGCACTACTATCCTTCATGTAATGTGGAGATAGGGGAGCACCGTCTAATGGGCGACCTTGTACCGTTAGACATGCTTGAGTTTGATGCTATATTGGGCATGGATTGGCTTGAAAAACACCACGCGAAGGTAGATTGCTACACCAAGGTGTTAGAACTAAAAGATGGCGAAGGGAACACCCTATGCTTCGAGGGAGATAGAGGGAAATTCAACCCTTGCATCATATCGGCTATGAGGGCAAGGCGTATGATGAGGAAGGGATGTCATGCTTACTTAGCCTATGTCGTAGGCAAGGAAGGCAAGGGGAAGAGTCTCACGGAAGTAAGAGTGGTGAGTGAGTATCCAGAAGTTTTCCCTGAAGAACTTCCGGGACTCCCACCAGATCGAGAAATCGAGTTCGAGATCGAGGTTGAACCAGGCACCAAACCCATCTCAATCCCTCTGTATCGAATGGCACCGGCTGAACTTCAAGAGTTGAAAGTTCAATTGGAAGAGCTACTCGATAATGGATTCATTAGACCGAGTCATTCACCATGGGGAGCACCTGTACTCTTTGTTAAGAAGAAGGATGGCACAATGAGAATGTGTATCGACTACCGTCAATTGAACAAGGTCACGATAAAGAACAAATATCCTTTGCCAAGGATTGACGACTTGTTTGATCAATTACGGGGGGCAACCGTGTTCTCCAAGATCGACTTGAGGTTGGGCTACCATCAACTAAAGATCAAGGAGAGTGACATACCCAAAAGTGCATTCCGTACAAGGTATGGTCACTATGAGTTCCTAGTGATGTCATTTGGGCTTACAAATGCCCCCGCGGCATTCATGGACCTCATGAACCGAGTATTCCATCAATACTTGGACCAATTCGTCATAGTGTTCATTGATGACATTTTAATATACTCCAAGAACGAAGAAGAACATGAGAAACATCTAAGACTCGTGCTTGAAACACTGCGGGAGAAGCAACTCTTTGCCAAATTCTCTAAATGTGAATTTTGGCTTGGGGAGATCGGTTTTCTCGGGCATGTTGTATCGGGCTCGGGCATTTCAGTTGATAACTCGAAGATTGAAGCAGTCACTAATTGGGAGAGGCCCAAGAATGTAAAGGAAATAAGGAGTTTCCTTGGTTTAGCGGGGTATTACCGCAAATTCGTGGAGAAGTTCTCCGTGATAGCATCTCCACTCACGAAGCTCACTAAAAAGGGAGCTAAGTTTGTGTGGGATGACAAGTGTGAGAAGGGGTTTCTTGAGCTAAAGAAACGTTTGACTGAAGCACCAGTGCTTGCCCTACCCATACAAGGGTTAAGGTATGACATTTACAGTGATGCTAGTATCCAGGGGCTTGGATGCGTACTGATGCAATCAGGGAAGGTAATTGCTTATGCTTATCGACAGTTGAGGAAGCATGAAGTAAATTACCCCACGCATGATCTGGAGCTGGGGGCTGTGGTGTTTGCATTGAAGATTTGGAGGCACTACCTTTACGGAGAGTTGTGTCACATCTATACCGATCACAAAAGCTTGAAGTATGTGTTCACACAGAAAGAGTTGAACATGAGACAAAGGAGATGGATGGAGTTGATCAAGGATTACAACTTGATTATCGAGTATCATCCAGGGAAGGCTAACGTGGTAGCCGATGCTCTTAGTAGGAAGAGTTCATCGGGGGTTTTACTCTCATGCTTGCAAGCATTGAGGGCACGCGTGGAGGTATCCACGAATGGGGCTCTATTGGCCAGATTTGAGGTGAGACCCACATTATTAGACGAAATCAGGACGCATCAAGGCAATGACGAGGAAATTCAGAAAATCCGGGAACGGATGCTGGTGGGGCCCGTGGAAGGGTTCCGTGAGAGAGAAGATGGACTCCTACTATTCAAGGAGCGAGTGTGTGTGCCGTTAGATGAGGAGCTCCGGAAATCCATTCTTGAGGAGGCTCACTCATCTGCGTATGCCATGCACCCAGGTGGAACAAAGATGTACCGGGACTTGAAAGAAAGTTACTGGTGGTCGGGGATGAAGAGAGAGATTGCAGAATATGTGAGTCGTTGCCTTACCTGTCAGCAGGTTAAGGCAGAGCACCAACACCCGGCAGGATTATTACAGCCACTTACCATTCCAGAATGGAAGTGGGAGCATGTTACTATGGACTTCGTGGTAGGTCTGCCACGGACGGTTAGGAACTACGACGCGGTATGGGTGGTGGTTGATAGGCTGACCAAGAGTGCTCATTTCCTACCTATCAACACTACTTATACGCTTGAGCGACTGGCCAAGTTGTATACAGATGAGATCGTGAGACTGCATGGGGTTCCGGTTACTATAGTGTCGGATAGAGACCCACGGTTCACATCACGGTTTTGGCCTAAGTTCCAGGAATCCATGGGAACAAAGTTGAGGTTTAGCACGGCATTCCATCCTCAAACTGATGGGCAATCTGAACGGGTGATTCAGATTTTGGAGGACATGTTGAGGGCATGTGCCTTAGAGTTCCAAGGAAGTTGGGACAACCAGTTGGCTTTGGTGGAATTCGCCTATAACAACAGTTATCAGGCAAGTATAGGCATGCCCCCATACGAGGCATTGTATGGGAGGAAATGTCGGACACCTTTGTGTTGGGATGAGGTTGGCGAGGCCAAGCTCGAGGGTACGGAGCTAGTTGAAATCACCAAGGAGAAGGTGAGAGTTATTCAAGATAGACTCAGGGCTGCCCAAGATCGACAGAAGAGCTATGCAGATAAACGACGAAGGACATTAGAGTTTGAGGTTGGCGATGAGGTATTTCTGAGGGTGTCACCTTGGAAAGGGATCATCAGGTTCCTCAGTCGGGGTAAGCTCAACCCACGTTACATAGGCCCATTCAAAATCATTGAAAGAATCGGGGTCGTAGCATACCGGCTTCAGTTAACTCCAGAATTGGAAAAGATTCATAATGTATTTCATGTTTCCATGCTCAAGAAGTATGTACGGGACCCATCACATATTCTTGAGAGACCACCGGTAGAAATCCGAGAAGACCTACACTATGCAGTGCAACCAGTAAAGATCATGGACCGGCAGGTAAAGAAGCTAAGAAGTAAAGAAGTACCGATGGTAAAAGTGCTTTGGAAGAGTGATCGTGTTGAGGAGCAAACTTGGGAAGTGGAGACCCTGATGAGGGAACAGTATCCATTTTTGTTTGACTAGACACGTGGATTTCGGGGACGAAATCCCAAATAAGGGGGGTAGAACTTGTAACACCGCCCCCAAGTAATTGTACTTTATCAAATTATGTATTGAACCCTGAGAAATGAATAAACACATCTTTACGCGATTGTAAAATTTTCATCATTTCTTCTACGTGAGTATTAGAATTCACGTGGAGCCCACACCGGGAGTGGGGGGCCACCCGATATTGTCGGGACCGCATATTATATTCATTTGGGTCAAGATAATATGTGTGTAATGGTTGATATCCTTGTTGGGCTATAGAAACTATATGAGTAACCATTTGGACATATAAAGCCCATTTATCAGTACCAAAGTAATATCGGATAAAAAGCCATAATAAATTATGGAGACCACCAAATTAAAAGTTGGGGAATTTAAATTCATTCTTATAGCCAATAATAATTGGAAGAATGATAGATATTTCATTTTACCCGATAAAATGAAATATAGTTAAAACAGTCCAGAAAATACAACTTTCGGGACCAAGTGTACACTTGGGGACACAAAGGGATGACCACCCATTTAAGTGGGGGCCACCCCACGACTTTGTCTTGCAAATAGCAAGGGGAGCCGCACCCTTGGACTGCTGAGGGGTGTTGAGAGGACTTGGAGACAAAGAGTGAAAGGCAAGGGGACCCTCACCCATGTTAATTGATGAATAAGCCAAAGTGACTATCTCCATCATACCTACACCCATATGCTCGACCCATCCTCCATCTAAAGAGTAGGAATCTCTGCAAAAAACTCCATTTTCATCCACCATTCACGCACCAAGCAAGGGGAGGAAGAAAGGAGGAAAGAGGAGAAGAGAAAAGAGGAGTTAAGGTGGGAAACTTGTGATTTACAAGGTAATGGCTTCATTAATCCCATTTCTTGTCCTTAATCATATTTCATACTCCTAGGATATTTCTACACATGTAAAAGTGTAGAATGGGGGTTGGAAGGTTGGTTCATGTCCAAAACGGATTTAGAGAACAAAGTTGACCGATTCGTCGAAAAATAACCTTTTAGAGGTCATTTGTGTTGATATGGGTTTTATGATGATAAAACCTTGTTGTTAACTTGTATAAGGTACTTCAAGAACTTTCACGGAGTTGAAAGGGTCGCCGGAGTTGTCGCCGGAGTTGTTGAAGTTCGCCGGAGTTTCACCGGGGCCAAATCGGAGAGGCTAGAACTTCATAAGCTTCATTAAGGTGAGAAGACGGCTATATGCTTTATAACTTTTGAGTGAGGCATGAGATTACCTAAAGTAATCAAGTATATGTTTTACGGAATGATTAAAGTTAATCAAGTATTGGCTTATGCCATGATTATATATAAAACAAAGTTGAAAAGCATGTTTTGTATGTTTGGTGATTAAAAATGTGATAACTTATTATGTACAATGATCCAGGGGTCAAAAATGGTATTTTTGGATCAAGGACTTCAAGTAGATTATGCATGTAAAATTTCACGTTAATCGGACTCCGTTTGGGCGGTCAAACGGGCGTTGACCGCCAAGTCAACTACAATACCCGACCGGGTGTCTGCTGAAAAATTGGCCCCAAGGGCCGCTGTCTCCTATACCCGATCGAGTATGGATAGATACTCGATCGAGTATGCCTTGAAAATTAGCCTTATGGGCTCCTGTCTCCTGTACTCGACCGAGTATTGATGGGTACTCGATCGAGTATTGGGTTATACTCAAAACGGGTAGTTTTTGAGTGGGTTAGCGTGGATCGATCAGGTGGGACCCGTCCACGTTGGTTACTAAGGATTATTATATGACTATAGGACTAGGTATTGTCCATAGTTAAGTGAATGCAAGGTTAGCCATATCCAGGTTAGGGTTTGGTTAGAAATAAGGTTGAGGTTGAGTATCCTCGGGACGGTAAATGATCCTAAAACTCGGTGAGGTTGAGTATCCTCAGGACGGTAAACAATCCTAAAACTCGGTTGAGGTTGAGCATCCTCGGGACGGTAAATGATCCTAAAACTCGGTTGAGGTTGAGCATCCTCGGGACGGTAAATGATCCTAAAACTCGGTTGAGGTTGAGCATCCTCGGGACGGTAAATGATCCCAAAACTCGGATGGGGTTGAGTATCCCCGGGAGGGTTAACACTCCTGAAACTCGGTAGGATATTATGAAGGTAGAATGTAGCTCTTAAGCTAGGCATTCAGGAATGAAAGGGGAAAGGTTGGGTAAGTACCTTGTCTCTAAAAGACGCTTTTGTGAGAAAACGACCTACGGGTCAAGTATTTTACAAGTATATACAGTATGTACTATCTTGGGAATGGGGTGACAATGGTTACACCTATAAATATATGTATCATCCTATTTTTGGGTCTCGTGTCTGAGACATTAGTTATTCCTCATATAGCCTGCTTGTCACTAGTACTTCTATGGAGTACTGACCCCTTCGGGGGCCCTCACATTTTTTCAGGTTAAGGCTAGAGTCCTGCTACCTGCACCTTTGCCTAGGGTGAACTCAAATAAGGAAGACGTGGTTCGTGCTTCCATTCTTATTTGAAATTATGAAATTGCTCATGGATATTTGAACGATGTTTTCTATTAAACTATTGAAGGGCCTGCGTGCTCATGGTTGCCACGTGTGGCTAAATGTCAAACATACTTTATTTCCGCATGTGTTTGATTTATATATTGATGTTGATTGTATGGGTTTACTAATCGGTTTGGCAATAGAATCTTTCGGACGCCTTGTATGATTTGATAAGAATGAACTACGTTGTTCTTATTGGGTTGTACGGCGGTTGTCTACGTGGCACGGATGCGGTCCGGGGCGTGACATCTGACCGCCATGAATGCAGATATGGTCGCCATGAATGCAGATCTAGAGAGCATCGCCGGAGATCTGACCGGCTCGAGCCTCCGTCGGTCGTCAGCCGATGCCCCTGCAGATCCAGCCACCGTCGCACCTTATCTGTCATCTGCTGCTGCAAATCAGACTTCCTCAGTTGCAGATCTGGCCGTTTCCGGCGTGAATGCCAAGATTTTTATCAGAATGCCATCTAATTGGCATTTTCAAAGCACAAAGCAAAATTTTGTAAGACAAAGAATGCCATTTTGATGGCATTTTCAGATAGCAACTTGGCATTTTGTAGCAATCAAAGAAGAAATAGAGTGTGGGGAAGAAGAATATCATCTCCAACAGCGGCGACGGTGAATTTCACGATGGTGGCGGCGGAGGACTTCGCGACAGCGGCGGCGGCGATGGGGAAGGAGAGAAGATGAGCAGGTGAGGGCGGAGGTGGACTTATTAGGGACTGACTTCTAGGTTTGTTGTTGCTGTGCGAAAGAGAAGAAGAGAAGATGAGCTCGTGAAGGAGAAGAACGTATGTGCACAGGGGAGAAAGAAGAATGATGCTTAAGAAGTAGATGTCTCAATGGTGTGCGCAGGAAATTAAAGAGGAAGAAATTAAGGGTAAATGGGTAATTTAGTCCTATTTGGGGTATAAAAATATACATAGTCCCATTTAAGAATATCAAGAACAATTTAGTCCTATTTAAGACAAAAAGTCCTAATTATTTCACACAGGGGCGGAGGGACGTTCAAGGTGAAGGGGGCCATGGCCCCTCCCACGTTTTATTTTCTTTAGTACTAGTAGTGCGTAATTTTTTTTTGTCACCCTTTCTCACTATTTTTTTTGAGCAAGCATCATGTACTTCTAGTATAATGTTTATAAGCTTCTAATTCGTTTTGTGGGGTGTATCAACTAAGTAGGAAGTGAAATTAAACAAGCAGGTTGTAAAATTAAAGTTTAAGTTTAACTTGAGTTACAAATGGCTTTAATTCATTTAATCTAGATAGAGGAAATTTCCTTTAAAGAAATAGGAGAAATTTGGAATTGGACTATAGAGGATGCATTTTCTTAAGAAAATACTTTTAAATTCAAAAATTTAGTATAAGTGTTTATAAATAGATTTCTATACTTAAATTAAACGTTTTATAGTTTTTTTTATCGTTTAAACGTTTTATAGTTGAAAACTGGAAACAAACAATTTTTACTATTTTATTCCAGAAATTCAATGTTTAATCAAAATCTATTACACACTACTACTCAAAATCATTATTCTTGAGTACGCAGTAATAATCAAGAATTTAAGTATGTATCACATTATAACATGTTGATTTTTTTTAACATGTTGAATATTTTAGTAGCAATATTATAAGACTTTTTGTATATATATATAGTATGAAATTCAATTAATTATCGATGATTTCCATGACGTGTAAGAGAAAAGTTCTTAATGTCCATTGATGTTTTGTTGGATAATGTTTTTCAATTTTTTGATGAATATCAATACATCATTTGGTAATTGATATTAACATTACATTTTATGTTACAATTTATACTTTATTTTGGCCCCCCTCCATATCCAATCCTGGCTCCGCCCCTGATTTCACATGGCACTGAGCCACTGATCCATATCGATTAAACTTGACAAAAGTATAAGCAATGAAGAAATATTTTCGTGTTTGAAATTCTATAATAACATACGATAGTATTTAATACAAGAATGAACTTTGTCTTTCCTCTTTAAAAAGATATACGATTGACCAGATATTTTAATTTATCCAAAATTTTATTTGAGAAAAACTGAAATCCGTGGGACATACAATCGGTTATTCAAAACTTTCAATCATTAATTAATTAATTGATTAACAGGACAATCATATGACATTAATTATATCAATGGAATACCAACTCTTAAAAAGTTGAGGAATCGTATTGGACAAAAGATTAGGGTAGAGCTGGTATAGTAGGGAATAAGTACCTTCTTTTCTAAAGCGTCACCACTTTTGGCAAGCATCAATCGTAGATGTAGAGAATTCCCTAAACAAGAGCAAAAACGTTTTGAAATTCTAAACTAGGAGTATCATGTTTTTTATTTCTGAATAGAAGTAAATTTCTGCCAACTTTGGCATTACAAGGCTTTAAACATGGCATTTTCCAAACTTGGCAGATTACTCTTAATCAAGGAATAAAAAACATGATACTCCTATTTTGGAATCTGAAAACGTTTTTACTCTTATTTAGGGCAATCTCTATTTATTAAAGGGAAAATGGTTAAATAAGGTCTTCTATTATTACATAATCATCACATAAAGTCGTGTACTCAATAAAGTTTCATATAAATCCGTTTACTTATAAAAACAATCAGATGAGTCCTAACTACCCTTTGACAACTTCATAATCCCAAATTAAATTTAGCTTATGTGTCATTATTTTTGTCTTATATTTAAGCCAATCCTAGCTCAATATTCCACGTCAACCTTATAATCTATTTTAAAAAGGTAGTCAGACGTACACACAAACCAGGATTAAGAGGTTGCCGATGAGTTTTTAGGATTTATCCAATTGTTTTTTATAAGTAGACGTATTTATATGACATTTTATTGAGTACATGACCTTATGTGACGATTTCATAATAGTAGAAGGCCTTATTCGATCATTTTCTCTTTATTAAATAATCATTACTATTAAGGGTAATTTCAGTTTGCACCCCATTTTATTGTCCAAATTAGACTTTGCACGCATTATATTTAATTACTAATGGATAGATATAGTAAAATTAAATGAATGCATTTTTTATTATTTTGCAACTGAATATCAATAATAATTACTCCATCTTCTTATTAAACTTTGCTAACTTTATTTTTGCATGTCAAATTTTCATTTAAAGTATTAAATGTGTGGGTAAATCACTTTTCTCTCCTCTAATCTGCACAAATCTTAATAACATAATTTTTACTTTATATTTCACATGGGACTAATTATTATCATTGCCCTTTATATAGAGCCCGTTTGGTGACCTATTTTTTTGGCTTATCAGGCTTATCAGCCAGTTTTTTCACCAAACACATAACTTTGATTTCTCGCGCTGAATTGTGTAATAAGCAGAAAAAGTAAGGTTAAAGTTACTTTTCTGGCTGTATTGGCTGAAGTTACTGTAGATGATCATTTTAGCTATTTTTCATATAATTTTTTATTTTATTTATTAATAACAAATATTTTAAATATAATCTTTTCATGAATCAGCAGAATCAACCAATAGAGTCACTTCAGCCAGAACTTCACAAATTTCAGCAGAATCAGCCAATAGAACCAATTTTAGTGTTACCAAACGGGCTCATAATATGTGCATCTGAATTCATCACTCTTGAATATAATGTAACACTTTATTTTGTATTTTAAAATTAGAACATCTCAGTTTTAATTTTATAATGTTATGTCCATTAATTATTGATGTATGTGTATGTTTCCAAGGGAACTCTTCCGGTAAGGTATACCTTACCGGAGCCACCGTGCGGCGTCCACGTTTTGAGGGACTTCCCGGTGGAGTTTTTTGATGAAATGTTTTGAGCATGTTCTTCATCAAGTCTAGTACATCCATACCAAATTTCAGCAAACAATTCAATCGGGAAGGCAGTCAAATGATTTTTGGAAGATAACTGCACCCTTTATATACATATAAAACGCAGTTATCTTCCAAAAATCGTTTGACTACCTTCCCGTTTGCATTTTTGCTGAAATTTGGTATGGATGTACTAGACTTGATGATGAACATGCTCAAAAAATTTCATCAAATAATTCCACCGGGAAGGCCCTCAAAACGTGGAGGCCGCACGGTGGCTCCGGTAAGGTATACCTTACCGGAAAGATTTCCATGTTTCTAATATCTTTCTAATGAATTTATTTATATTTAATGTCTTCATGATGAATTTTTTTTAATTTTTTTGTTATAATTTGCGACCATTAATTAGGTTGGCACTTCATCATTGATGGTTATTAACTATTGAGATATTTCTTTTGGAAGAAATATGGCTTATATTAAATCAACCGAACTTAAGCAAGTTACAAAACGACAAAAAGTCTTTTGTCTACCGTATGCCCTCGAACCAGACTTAGAAACTAGCACCCTCGTAGGAGCAATAAGATTCACTGATCCTATAATTGTTTTACCTGAGCCAATGACGGGCAAACCAGACTTCTCATCACATGACTTAATTTCTAGAGTTTTTTTGCTAGGAACCAAAAACAAGATCAAAGCAACATTCAATTCGGAATAAAAACAATACATACAAAAACAGAATAATCTAAAGAACCATAACTAATAAAAAAGATTTCTCAGACCCTAACACGTTGTTCAACTCATGGCAGTGGCTCATTAGGAGGCCGGATCATTAGTACCATTGTGATTGATCTCCCGTCACCGGTCAAACTATGGTCCGCCATAGTCATCCCTATGTGCTTTTGCACGTCTCTGGCAACAGTCCCCGGTTGTAGTCCTCTGTACTAACCGGCCAAGATTTGTGAAGCATGCATATATACTTCCAGATTTCGAAACTCCAGCAAGCAGAACACGTCTCAATCCAATTGAGGGCAGAAAACACGACTCTGAAACCAGATCGATTTCGGAAATCTCAATCCAATCCACCCAAGTAGAATCGGGTATGAAGGATCGCCCAAACTCGAGAGCTACGACTTTGTTCCCTTCAACCCCGGCTTCAGTCTCCATGTCACTAATAGTAGTGAAACCAAATGATGGCTCTCTTGCTTAAAGAGAGAAGTGAAATCCGAGCAGCAAGGTCAGAATGGTTGCACGCCTAAGCGGCAGAAAGATTGAATGGCCGCATGCCTAACCTACAGAAATACCAAGCCCAAGACCTGCTAGGGAGAGGACCACAGTGCCAAAGAACTTCTAATTATTGAGATATTAAAAAATAATTCATTATTAATGACAACAATTTTTCACTTCCTTTGACTCCAAATAGATTTCTATTTGGATCTCAACAATATTCTCTTTATATATATAAAGATTGGTTTTGTATATTAGCTTTAGTAAATCTAAGCACGAATACAGGGTGAAATAGTCTCGCTCATGCAAAATTAAGGGAGATTTTATTTACAGCCCAGGGGCGGACGCATGTATAATCTAATGGGGGCACATGCCCCCCAGGGGCAGAGCTAGGGGGTGCCCAGGCTAGGCCCTGGCCCACCCCAAAATTGAAAAATGTCAATATTTTTAGTGTAAAAAATTTCGTGTAATTTTTTTCCCAATAATATTCTTTGTACCGGCCCAGTCTAGCCCAGTGTCCTGGCTACGCCCCTGATGCCCCCAATGACTTCCCATTTTTATTGTAACATTGGTTTACATATGTAAACATGCATACCGTAAATAAGAAGTGCCCCCAACCAAAATAGTGGAGGACCCCAACCAAGTTGGACAGCCCACTTTTTGTTTCTTATATAATTTAAACATACACTTTTGGACTCTAAACTAACTCTTTTTTTTTGTCAATTTTATAAACTACTCCGTAACTCCTAATCCAATTGTCATTTACATATGAACCGGGAGTTTTACAATAATATCCGTATAATTGGAGTAATCTTAGGATCTATAATTGTCATTTATCAAAGCCTGCAGAACATGGTGCGAATTTGAGTTTTTCTATTTAGGATATATATGTTGCTATTTTTTGTAGAATATACACTTTTTATTTAGTTTTAAATGGTTGTTAGATTAGAATTTAATCTTTTATAATCATAAATTCTAGTTCTTTAAATCGTGTCAATCATGATTGATTTGTGGTTGCATTAATAATTTAAATGTATTGTTGATTTAACTTCAAAATATTTAATTTCTCTTAGTAAATGACTAGTTTAATTTCAACAAAAAAAAGTTTTCACGGTAGTATTCAAAATATATAAAAATAATATTTAAAACTAAATTTATTGAAGGCTAAAGGGTCAAATAGGTCCTCGAACT